TTATTTTTTTACCTACATTTAATGCTCCATACAAACGGCTAAAAATTGATGTGATGGAGAGAGAGTGAAAAAACTTGGAATTTTGAGGGTATCTAAACAAGGCCCCATTCTGAATTTGAACTCCGGTTAGTAGCAGTACTGAAACTGGTTATGCTGAGATCCTATCTTCCTGCACATTTCAGGCAGAATTGCATCCTTTTTTTCCTTGTGAGAAATTTTGTCTATATGATATATTTTCACAGTAATATCTATTTTATCACGATTTCTATAGAGTTGATCAAACTTAAGAGAAATTTTGATGACTAGGGATGAAGGTAGAATTGCATCCTTTTTTTCCCCTTGTGTGAGAGAGAAGAACAAACCTGCCCAAATTGATTTGATTTCTTCTAATGTGACGTAAATGAACAAGCGAACGAACGATGCTTTGCCATGGCAGGGGACGCGGTGGGCGTGCTGGACGACGACCCCGTGGGGAAGCTGAAGGTGTTCGTGTACGAGATGCCGCGCAAGTACAACAAGATGCTGCTGGACAAGGACAGCCGGTGCCTGCACCACATGTTCGCGGCGGAGATCTTCATGCACCAGTTCCTGCTGTCGAGCGCGGTGCGGACGCTGGACCCTGAGGAGGCCGACTGGTTCTACACGCCCGTGTACACGACCTGCGACCTGACGCCGCAGGGTTTCCCGCTGCCGTTCCGTGCGCCGCGGATCATGCGGAGCGCGATCCGGTACGTGGCGACGACGTGGCCGTTCTGGAACCGGACGGACGGCGCCGACCACTTCTTCCTCACCCCGCACGACTTCGGCGCGTGCTTCCACTACCAGGAGGAGCGCGCCATGGAGCGTGGCATCCTGCCGCTGCTCCGTCGCGCGACGCTGGTGCAGACGTTCGGGCAGCGGAACCACGTGTGCCTGCAGGACGGGTCCATCACCGTGCCACCCTACGCCGACCCGCACAAGATGCAGGCGCACCTCATCAGCCCCGGGACGCCGCGCTCCATCTTCGTCTACTTCCGTGGCCTCTTCTACGACATGGGCAACGACCCCGAGGGCGGGTACTACGCCAGGGGCGCGCGCGCGTCGGTGTGGGAGAACTTCAAGGACAACCCGCTGTTCGACATCTCGACGGAGCACCCGTCCACGTACTACGAGGACATGCAGCGCGCCATCTTCTGCCTGTGCCCGCTGGGGTGGGCGCCGTGGAGCCCCCGGCTGGTGGAGGCGGTGGTGTTCGGGTGCATCCCCGTCATCATCGCCGACGACATCGTGCTCCCGTTCGCGGACGCCATCCCCTGGGAGGACATCAGCGTGTTCGTGGCGGAGCGCGACGTGCCGCGGCTCGACTCCATCCTCACCTCCATCCCGCTCGCCGACATACTCCGGAGGCAGCGCCTGCTGGCGCGGGACTCGGTGAAGCAGGCGCTGCTGTTCCACCAGCCCGCCAGGCCCGGGGACGCCTTCCACCAGGTGCTCAACGGGCTGGCGCGCAAGCTGCCGCACGGCGAGGGCGTGTTCCTGCAGCCCGGGGAGAAGGTGCTCGACTGGGACGCCGGACTCGAGAGCGACCTCAAGCCCTGGTAGTGTGTGGACTTGTTGTGCATCTGTTCATGTTCGTTCTTTCTTTCTTTTGTCCTCTTTGACATCGAATCATCGATGAATGGATCATGTATCACGCATTAGTTTTTGTACCACGGCCCGTTTACATGCAGCAGCAATATATAATATAGAGGGTATATTCGTCGGGAGATGTGAGAAGCAGCATTAGTGTGGCTCAGATTGACTTATAGTACATCGATGGTTCAAATGTGATGTGATTTCGCGTTTGTAAATCTAGCTGAATTAACCTGTTTGTGCTTTTTTTTTTCTTGGTTGCCTGTACCGTAATGCACATCCATCAAAGCGACAGTGCTCTTCCTCCTGCTCTCCGAAAAGCTGTTTGAAGGGAACGCAATCAGAATGTCAGCTCTGCCAATGGCAGAAGACGACCCTGTAGGGAGCTGGGAGCCTGAGCTCTGAACGGCAGAAGATCCCGATCTGGACGATGTTCTTTCAGCTGTCAGTAGGGGCGTCGTCTACCAGTTGGTATGCTCTCATGCTGGGCGGTCGAGCCCAGCGACCGCTCAGCACGGCCGACCGGCAGACTGTCACGGCAATGCTTCAAAGGTCAAGTGGCCCTTGGGATGGCCAGATGGGTCAAGTTTCAGGCAGCACACTGCACACCGATGTAGTGGCCTGCTCCGAAGCCCAAGTACTGACCATTTCTGCGTGAGCCCGTTGGATTTTGATGTACTATGAGTGAATGAACGCTTGTTCCCGTTGAATTTCCACGACTCAACGGCATTTTTTTTTTCAAGAACATGCTTGGCATGTATTTCATTAAGAAGAATCAGAGTTTAATGCAAACCCCCAATAAGTGGAACTGGCTCGAGAGAACCAAAGGAGCTGCAACATCACAAAAGAAAAGAAAAAACAGGGAAGCACATAGAATCAACGGCATTGCAAGTATTGCTACGCAGTACAGTTTAAATATAAATAATTCTAGATCTAATGGTTAAAACTGTGATGGAAGACTCATACAAATATTAGGTGGTTTTATAACGTATACTTGCGTTATCTTCGAATGGTCGTATTTTTAGTATTTCCCACTTTCCCAGCACAAGAGAACCTAGACGGTTTTTTGCATCGCGGATGCAGCCGCCTGCTGTCATCCTGTGCGCATCTCTCGGGCTGGCTGCGAGCCTGCGCTCGTCTGTGCAGCAGCCAGGGGGGCCATCAGGGTTGTTGGACTTTTCGTTGGTCCAAGGGCCGCCCCAAGTCCGCCATTTGCATTTTGCTTGCGTCACGTTTGCCTTCACGTTACGATGCCACTGACTTGAAGCATGAATACAATAAACACCACGGACCTAAATGCATACATACATCCCTTGGGCCTTGGGCACGAATTGAATTTCAAATACATACGCTAAATAAACAAGATTCTACTGAGCTCCTCCCTAATGTTAAATTCTCTTTTAAATAGAAGACTTCCTGGTGTCATGACTTTCGCTTGATTTATTATTATTAGTACATTGTTCGTCGGTGTTTCCTAATAGATTCTTGTTTCATGTTATTTGTCAAACCAGATACACCAATAGTACGAAACTGCTGCTCTGTACTCCTCAGGTCATGAAAATATGTCACTTATGACATAATTTAGTGAAATCCTAAAAATTACAAACATCAACAATTTTAAATTATCTAGTTTTAAAACATATAAATTATACAAAATGCTTGCAGAAAAATTATAAGTGTGAAGTATTTTGTGAATATATTCTACATAAAATGAATTATGAAAGATATGCATGGTTGCCTTGCAAAATTAGACGTGAAAGTGTTTTTGACAGACTATACTATGCCATAAAAGAGATGGACACATAAAATGCTATATATTGTGAAATCACATTAAAACTATGTCGAACTCTTAAACCAAGCCATGGCATAGTATATCCATCAAGGTCAAGCAACGTTTGTGTGTGTGAAACGTCGAAAATATCTTCAACAACCCTACACATCAATTACACCACCAACCCACTCCTCTTTTCCCGGATCATTGTCAAAAACCTAGATGGATGTGTTAGGTTTGCTACATACATCCTATTTCTCGGATCATTGTCAAAAACCTAGATCGTCGCTTTCAGCCTAAGGGGGAGGAAGAAGATGGCTTGTTGTGTTCATCGGTTGCGTCTCATTGAACTCGTCGAATCTTAATTTCTTGTGTTGTTTCACATGTGAGAAGACGTGCGAGCGACTGTTCGGCAGCTAAAGGTAATTGTTAGTTGAACCTAAAAATTAGACCACACATATTTAGATCTTGAATAATAGATGCATACATCTGTAGTAATAAATTATTAGCTCTTTTAGCTAGCTATACTTGGCTAATACCTAGCCAAGACTAATCTACGGTTAGCCCCTTCTGTTTATATTAGATGCACTCGAGCTAAACCTTGTAGAGTTTTTAGCCTATAAGATCTAAATAAGTGCGGACTACGCCAAATAGTGGAGGAGGAAGCAATGGGAAGACCAGAGAGGTGAACAGAGCGTAATCTAGATGGTTAGTTTTCTTTTGGTGGATTCTACCCATTCGATTCTAAGTACTCGACTTGGAACGGTTGTTCATATATTATTTTTTTGGATTTTTTTCATGATATATCAGTGTTATTTTTTCTTTGGGAGACGTGTGTTCATAAAGAGTAAATGTAAGTATGTGTTTTATGAGTGTTGCTATGCAATTTACGAGAGAACTTCGTCGATCAATGCCAGCTCACTCTTGCAAAGATACTTGTTAAAGTTTATATGCAGGGCCTGTGTTGGGTGCAGGTGCACCCATAGAAAGATCAAAAAATAGTGATAAGAGCTAAATTTTGACCATATATTGCCTCTTCATGTAAAAAAAAAACTTACGCTCACGCAAGCACATCCTCTCAAATTTGCTCTGGCGCCACCCATATTTGTATGTGCGTGTATCTATGTTTATATAGAGAGTAAATATACATGAGCGTCTACGTCGTGTAATTCGCGCGAGAGAATAGAAGTCAGCTGCGTCTTTGTGTTTGACAAAATACGCAGGGCGACAACAAGGTGCCTTTAGTGACTTCCTGAATCTCAAGATCTGTCGGCTCAGCCCTTCGAAGTTGCTCATATTTGTCGGCCCAGTCTCTGAAAATGCTTATTTGAGGTAGAGTTTGCGTACGTGTGGTGTGTTCGTAGGGACGAGTATGCGTGCGTGTTACAGGCATCTAAGTTTCTTTAAAAAAAACGCGGGACAGCGGAAGAACGAAAATAAAGATCAAGCAGGGTTGTCCGTGTAAAAGCGGCGGGCGGAAACACACGGAGGCGTCTGCTACTTATGGATGCTGACGAACAACAGAAGAGAGCCTCCCAAACCTCGCAACAACCCCCGTGAGCGACCAACCCACCCATCTGCCCTTCCTCGCATTTCCCACCAACCCCGGCGAGCTGCGATGACCGGCACGGTGTCCAAGCTAGCCGCGCCCCGGCCGGCGGCGGCGCCGCTCCGGCCGGCGTCCCTCCGCACCGCCGCAATCGCCTGCGCCCCCTCCCCGCGCCGGGTCAGCGTCTCCATCGCCGGGCGAGCCAGGAGCCCCATCATGTGCGTGACTCCACCCTCCCTCCCCTTTTTCCCCCTCTCCTCTTCCGCGCCCGCGCGCTCTATCTCATCTCGTCAGTGGAATTGGATTCGCGGTCTGGTTGGCTGGAGTGGCCTTCGCATCCGTGCCCGTGCTTGAGTCAGTGGGTGGTTAATTCTCGCGAGGTTTGATAAATTAGATTCGAGCTGTTCGTTCCCAGCGTGCTTTGGATTCTTCGTGTTGGAGATCGAGAGCATCTTCGGCTAGATCGCGGGCTGAATGGCTGATGTTCTGCCGCGTCGATTTGGAGCGTAGTACATCACGCCGCCTGGCCTGATGTGGCGATACGGACGGCCCCCCGATCCGGTCGTGGATGGAGCCTCCTGTACGTTTCTGCGGCCGTTCGATTTGGAAATGGACGGGTGGGAGCCTTCTGGCATACCAGCTTCTCCAGTCGCCGTGCCGGTGCGAGATCCGTGTGGAGGTGTGGGAGTGCTGGGTGCAATATTGCCGTGCCCGGAGGTTTGGGGTGCTGTCACTGCCGTGCCGGGAGCTTCCTCCTTCTCCTGTGTAGCTGACTCGCTGCTGCTGTAGTAGACCTCTTGATAGCAGCGGCGGCAATACACTGCCAAAAGCACCAACGCTTTCCATTAGCGTCGAAAGAATTCTAGCTGCATACACAACCCTTGCTTCAAGAGGGATAATATGAATGCCTTTGCGCACACCACATTTTTGCAGTCCAACTAACCTGTGGTCTGTGGACATGACCTTACTTGGTGAATTGCAATTTTCAGTGCGATGGCTTCTGCCAAGGAAGGAAATGGTGCTCCGACCAAGAAGACCACGCTTCATGATCTCTACGAGCTCCAGGGTCTGTCCCCGTGGTACGACAACCTCTGCCGCCCTGTCACCGACTTGCTGCCCCTTATCGCCAGCGGTGTTCGTGGGGTCACCAGCAACCCTACGGTAATCCTCCATTTCCACCTTTTGCTTTGCATTGTATGATCGATTGATCTCATGCATAGTTGCGCATTCACTCCTGACCATGTTCTCAACACGATGCAGATTTTCCAAAAGGCCATTTCATCGTCCAGCGCATATGATGATCAGTTCAAGCAGCTCATTTCGTCTGGAAAGGACGCGGAGAGTGCTTACTGGGAACTCGTTATAAAGGATATTCAAGACGCATGCAAACTTTTTGAGCCTATCTACAACGAGACTGATGGGGCCGATGGGTATGTCTCCGTGGAGGTGTCTCCTAGGTTGGCAAATGACACTCAAGGAACTGTTGAGGCAGCAAAGTGGTTACACAAACTGGTCAACCGCCCCAATGTCTACATAAAGATCCCTGCTACTGCGGAATGTGTTCCTTCCATCCAGGAAGTTATCGCTAATGGCATTAGCGTCAACGTCACGGTAATTGCTCAGCACTGCCTTGCCACTGCTTTCATATTACTGTGGTAAAACTCTAGTGTGACTGCTGTGACAAGCTTATTGATCACAAATTCATTTCTGTCACTGCAGCTTATTTTCTCTATTGCGAGATATGAGGCTGTGATTGATGCTTACCTTGATGGGCTAGAGGCTTCTGGCTTGAGTGACTTATCCCGAGTTACCAGTGTTGCATCCTTCTTTGTCAGCCGAGTCGACACCCTTATTGACAAAATGCTTGAGAAGATTGGAACACCTGAGGCACTTGCCTTGAGAGGAAAGGTAAATAAAATTAGAATTAACCACCTCTTAATGTTAGAACCTAAACTGTTCACAAAGTTATGTGATACAACCATCCTTTGTTCTACCAGGCTGCCGTCGCACAGGCCAAACTAGCAAATCAGTTCTACCAGAAGAAATTCTCTGGTCCAAGGTGGGAGGCGTTGGCCAAGAAAGGTGCCAAGAAACAGAGGTTGCTGTGGGCATCCACCGGTGTCAAGAACCCAGCTTATCCTGACACTCTTTACGTGGACAGTCTCATTGGACCTGACACGGTATATTTTCACGACGAGTTTCCCTCTTGAATTGGCATTGTTTCTTATCATCACAAAAATAACTCTGGAGTGATGCACTTTCAGGTCAACACGATGCCCGACCAAGCTTTGCAGGCATTCATAGACCATGGCACTGTTTCAAGGACAGTTGATGCGATTGTGTCTGAGGCAGAAGGTGTATACAGCGCCTTGGAGAAGCTTGGCATTGACTGGGATGAGGTCGGAAAGCAGCTTGAGCTTGAAGGTGTGGACTCCTTTAAGAAGAGCTTTGACAGCCTACTTGTGAGCCTGCAAGAGAAGGGCAACAGCCTCAAGACGGCAAGTGTGTAAAACTGAAATGGTTGGGTACCGGCGGGTGAACGATTTTACTAAATAAAATGCTAGCTTGCTGGCTCTCTTAATTTTTACGATGTGATGTACCTCTGCTCTCAATTTTCTGAATCGGCTTTGTATTTTAGGCTTTGCTTGGTCGTCATTGTGTAACCAATGTTCATGGCTTGTAACTGTTATTTTAGTCTGTATGCGTCCTCTTTGTTTTATGGAATGTACATCTGGGAAATGTAAATTTTATTTTACCCGAAACATTATATGTGGCTGGTCAATCTCTGATGAGGCCTGATGGTTCATGCTTGCCACTTTGAACTGAACTAAAGCTCATGGTTTGCTATTGCATTTATATGCACTATGCGATAATCCGTTCTTGATGGCTTGCAACAGGATGCTCATAGCACTTCTACACACTTTGGTAAAAGATTCATCATCATGAGATCGGCTACAGCAACCACCAGACAATCACTATGATCAGGTTAAATCCGTGCTTCCATCCATGAGCAACCAATTGCAAATATAACAAAGACTGGGCAAGCAAATTCTAGCATGAATTTTAGTAAGATAGATAATGATTGCAGTACATGTAAGAAACTGATCTCGAGAAAGAGATCTAGGGCCTGTTTGCTTGAACTTATCAGCGAACCGTTTCAGCGAAATCATAGTTTTTCTCTCACAACAAATCAGAATTAACATTAGCCGTTTTTCCAGCCAGTCGAACAGGGTCCTATTTGGACATCGCATAAGGAATAACTATTATTTACAATTCTCCAGCATTCCATACTGTAGTCTGTAGACCGTTCCCTTGCTCCGATGTGAGATCATGTAAAACGAAAGGCTATCATGGGCTCTCGCAAAACTCCATTTCCTGCAGTGTAATCAGGTTGGAGGAGAAATTGTCAGCTCAGCAAATAAAATTACATCTTAGGAACTGATGATAGGTGATTAGCAATTATGAGACGTGAAAAACAGGAATAGTGCAGAACCATCAGTATCATACCTTTCCACAAATTGGGCATGTATCACTTCTCTCCATCCATTCGTAAATACAACCAAGATGAAAATGGTGACAGCACTTGGTTATAATTTTTGGATTGTCTGGCGTGTATTCTGCACAGGGAATTAATCATAATGAATCGGTGACGAAATGTTCAGGCACCAAGATAAACTGCTATGTGTTCAGGCAGATCTATACGAACACAAACCTTCTAGACAAGTAGGGCAGACATCCTCATCTTCTGAAGCGCCAACTGCATAGCTGCTACTATAAGCTTTTGCAGACAAACTCTTAGTTGATTCAGAACGATGGACCTTATATTCACCCTCGTTTTCAGTGCTGCTGCGTTTCTTCTGAGCAGCTAAATGCTCAATACCAGAGCTGCTGCCATTTCGTCTAAGGGCTAGTGACTCTTCTTGTGCAAGATTTATGTATTTCTCACGCCTGGAGACTAATCCCTCTCTTTGAACACGGGCATATCTAGGATCAGTATCATATGGAGGTGGTCTAGAAACAAGGTGATAAGTTTCAGCGAGTGAATTGTCATTTATATTGACACTTGGATTAGTGGATCCCAGTGGAGCAACCCCTTGGGCTGGGTTGTTTGGCCTAGACTCAAGCCTCTGGAATGTTGCGGTATACTACATAGAAGGAAATACTATAGTTAGAAGAAACCTTATATATGAAAATGGATAAAGAAAATAATACGGAAGTGCCATTAAGATGCACAACATAATTTCTCCACAATAACTCGTAAAAGAACACCAGCAGGTCTACCTAGCCATGTCAAATGTGCCTACCCCTTGCTCATCCATGTTTCGCATTGTCTCAACAAGCTTTGCTGTTTTGGGTTTCGTAGTACTACAGAATGTTCAATGTGACTTTGTTTCCTTTTAGCGCTGTATCTAATACTTTAAAAGAGGAATATAGTACTCTTCAGTTTGTAACATTATGCGATCAAACAGGCCAATGCATCTATCACCACACAGAATATCTATTGACAGAAAAGAGAAAAATGTACCATTTTGAAGAAAATAAACTAGTGGCGAATATCTAAATCCCCACCAGTTAGAACTAAATCATATGAACATGCTACTGCCAGCAGTTGCATGGAGTCAGAAGTATCAAAGTACACATATCAATCAATGTAACATGTGACATTTTGGATCAGTTGGTTACAGCCTAGAATATACTTGAAAATATGGATAAAAGTTCATATTACCCCGCCAAAAATATTGTGGAAAAATTGCCTCAAGGATATGCATTGCCTATAGATAGGGTTGTTTGGATAGACATATTCCTCAAAATCTTCAGTACTGAGGCAGCAGCAGAACCCACCCATAATTCACTGAAAAAATGTACAGATCCAAAGTATCAGAACACAACTAAACAATCACATAGAACAAGTTCTGTAGCTTCCACATCTAAGATGTGATCATAATGCTGATTATCTAAATGAATATGAAATAAGGTTTCAGGAAATACCTTTGAAGTAGTCCTGATGCCCCTCTGTAGAAGAAATTGGTTGACACTAAAGATGGAGCTGATACAAGTTCACGTTTCCCAGCAGTTGATGGAAACTCTGAGTTTACCATGAACAATACTGGTAAAACATTCCCTAAGCTGGTCAACGAAAACAAAGGAATCACCTTTAGATTACTGCATTGAGGGGGAAAAAACTTACTTTCTTTTTTGAAAGATCCGGGGTGATTACTGGCTTATTATGAGAAGAGTTACATGCACAAGACGCGCCTACAAGTACCAGAAGTCCAGAACCAGCAGACTGCTGTGTCTGGATGACCAAACCAATCAGGAGGCAAAATTACCATACAGACTCCCCTTATTCAGCTTCCTAGTTACAGGGAAGAAGGATACAATGGGTCTGTAAATCGTTATCCTGCAGAGCTCATAACCGTGCTATGCAGGCATGCAGCCGAAATTCAACTACGGCATCGATTCATGAGTGCATTCTACTACCCGTGGCAGGTTGATGCACGAACACTAACTGAAAGAAAGATCGAGAGACTAGGAGGCACAACTGTAACCCAAAATGCCACACTTAATTTCTGTATAGAGTACACATTCTCTTTCTTTTGGGCGAGCCAGGAATGAAGCCACTGGGCCGGAAATACATGTGTTCAAGATGAGGCCGCTAGATCCTTACAGCTTCTCAAGGGAACTAAAAGGTGCTAGCCTGCTATGAGTGGCGCGAAGCACTTGCTGAGAGCACTGGCATCTGCGAGCACAGCTGCATCAGCGGCCGATCTGCATCTTGCGCTGATAAGCACCGAGAGTTGTCCCACACCCCCACTCCCACCGCGAGGCAATCGCGACGGTACGCGGTCCTAGAAGCGCGCTGGGAGGGGACTACGGGAGCGAGGGCAAAGGGAAGGCGAGCAGCGCCGACAGACTGCGGCTGGTCGAGGAACTGGGCACCGACTGACAGAGGACTAGAGAGAGTGGGCGCGTGGGTGGAGCTCACCTGTCGTGCAGCCCGCCGCCTGCGGCGCGAGGACGTCCACGGGATCGAGAGGGGCCGCGGCGCGGGCGGTCGGGCGCGGCGCCCGGGCGGAGGGGAAAGCGGCGAGACGCGGAGGAGACTGGAGCGCGGTGGAGTTGGGGAGTGGGGGAACTGGGAAGCGGAGCGGAAGGGGAGGGGATCGGACTTCGGACATGGGAGGGTTTGGTGCGCGTGCGGACTCCCCGTGCGTTGGCGTGTCGCTGTGTCCTCACGCCAGATGCTAAATTTTGGCAGTACAAAATGTGGACAAGTTTTGAAAAAAGGTACTACGGTGGAACGAAAATTGAAACTTTTATACCATGTTGATATAAACTTTCACACAAGAAATCACTAGTATATGCGCTTGGTTCTCCTCTCATTTTCTCCACTAACCACATAATTTAAGTTTTAAACCATGCATTTGCTCCATTCTAAGTTATAAAAGCTTTTTAGTAGATAGTTTTTTCTATATACTTAGATACACATCGTTCCCGAGATACATAGAAAAACTGGATATCTAACAAAGTCAAAAACAACTTATAATTTAGAGCAGATAGAATAGAAAACTTCTATAGAGAGAATGCACTAAGGGATAGTGAGCCACCGATACCACAACGGAAAAAGGGAACGTGGTTTGAATTCCATTTTTCTCCACCATATTTTCTCAATTCTAAACTATAATACACTGTATAATCCTATTTTTTCACCATATTCCCTCCATTCTAAATTTAGGAAAATTTAGCTTTGTAATAAACAAAAATGATCTAGTTTTGATAAATTTTATAAAACGGTCCGCCAACATCTAAAGCATCAAATGAATGTATTAAATTATCATTGAAACATATCTTGATATTGCATTAATTTTCAACTTTTAAAGTTTAGCTTAACACAGATAAAAGTGAACATAGTAGAACATAGTAAAAAAATCATATTTTGTTGCGCCAAAAATGAGCATACAAACGAAGGTACTAGCGTGACTACAGCGACACGCCAGTTAATCATGGTAAGTGGCATGTCGCTGTGTGGCCTAAACAATGTAGTACCACTGACGGTCGGTGCTAAGAGCATCTGTCGACAGAATATTATTGGCAGTTCTTCGAGAGTATCCAATGAAGGTAGATTGATCAGCAGAGAGACGTGTAATCAAGAATAAGAAGGCAACATAGACACACGAGTTAGATAGGTTCAGACCATCAGTATGACGTAATACCCTATTCCTGTAGTCTGTTGGTTTGTATTAGCTATCGTACGATATTCCGTGAGTTTGGAGGAGGTCCCTGCCCGCCTTATATAGTCTAGGGGACAGGGTTACAAGTCGGTTAGATCTGAGAGATAACTGAAAAGTAATAACAGATTACAGGAATCTTGAGATCATACGTATCCTAACAGATCTCGTAGTATCTTCAGGATATCTTCCCGGTATCTTGTGGGAGGCGCCGAGCAGAGTCGTGCCCTGCAAGGCTTCGTCTTGTGGGCTGGGCCGCCCCTGGGGGCGCAGCCCATGTGGTCTGCCGTGGGTACCCGGGGTCGTACCCCCCACAGCTAGTGTGGCAGAATCGTCCGAAATAACAAGCTTACGGAGGTGCTCGTCTTCCGCCAGACACTAAGCATTCCGAAAGTAAGCTACAACGGGCGGTATCCGTCGGGCACACCCCCAAAGGAGAACCCGAAAGATCCATATTTTTCTCAAGGATCCAATAATGAGAACGAGTTACAATACTTGTCCATTTCATACATCAGAGTTTTTTAAAAATTACATTATTACATTATCAAATGTCAGAGTGCGAAATGATAAATAGCGGAATTTAAAATAAACATCTAGCGATAAGAACGAGGATCCGTCTGAGTCCACCAGAAGAATCCTCCACATAAAAGTACTTCTCATGCATTATCTACAACAGGGGTAAATAAAACCCTAAGTACACAATGTACTCGCAAGACTTATCTGACTAGTGAGAATAATTTTCCGACTCCAAGGAATATGATAAGCTTTATGGTTTGCTGGTTTTCTTTTAACAGAAAGCAATATTAATAGTGAATCCTTATTTATGTTATTATTATTAGCCGTATTAAGTTATTATCTATTCAGTCTATATAAGCACTTGTTCTACTTTCAAGCAAGAGTTGAACAATCAATCCCAATTCATCACCTTTCATCTTTTAGTTCTTAGTACGGTGCTAGACACGAAACAAGCCGTACCAGATCGTCCGGCGATTCGCGAATCAATGCCTCCAACTGGGTACTCCGAAAACACACGCTCCGCTTGCATCCCAGGCATAAGCAGGACTAACCCATCACCCTCCTGTCCTGGGTGTCTAGGTCCCCGTCCAAACTTGGACTCCAAGCCCCCACTCCTGAGTCCTAGACTCAATGCGGTGCAAGGACCTCCACCATCCCTGGCTTCAATCAGTCGGTCCGAAAAGAGCTGGATCCACGATAAGAGAGCAACGAGTCTTCCCCGCGCCCATACCCAAGTATGTGCTCGGGATAATAAATCTGTGACTTGCCCACGATGTCTTATGCAACGACCGTTCCTTAATTGACACAGACAAGGAAAAAGTATAACCGAGCTATGCCCTGTTGGCCACAGGACACAACCCCTTACACCCACCAGTATCCAAATCATATCCCTGCCCAGTCGCCATTTTTCCTTTCCATCATTTATCATGAGTGATCATAATTATCACCTATTTGTCAGTAACGACAGGTTACCCACGCTACCAAAATCCTGAGCATAGCAGCTACTCAACCTGCACTAGTAGGACTCATAGGTAGATATATTCATGCATGTAGTTTCTATAAAATGCCTGTAACATAATTGCACATCATAGATATATATTCAGTGATCATTAAAATAGGGGTTATGCACCGAGGCTTGCCTTGGTAGGTGACGGGTCAGCAAAGTCAGCACCATAAGGCTATAGGACTCCCTCCTGCACGAGGATCTCCTCCTTGTACTCCTCAATGACTTTCTCGTACTCCTGTTCGTCCACGGGCACGAACTCTATCAACTCGTGATCTACATGCATGAAATGGTGATGCAATACTTAGTAATATGGCAACAACTCTTAAAATAAAAATACATCTGTCTAACTACTAGCTAGTGCTACTGGCTAAGGTATTAAGTTACCTACTATTACCACTAACAAGTACGAAGCATGACATACATTATCACAGCAACTAAAGGTATTCTTACTCCTAATACCGATTTAATCTATATATGATAAAACAAGGATAATAGTTACTCTATTTATCAACTTATTCTAGGGCTACAAAATTTACAGCAAGTACATAATAATCTAGTGAGCCTACTGTAAAATTTTCATAGCGATAGCTATCACCAATTTCCCATAAAAATTCCTACAAATATTAATCTACATAATACTAAGCTCTCTAGTTTGGATTTATGAGCCCATCACTATCATAGTTAACTGTAAACTAACTACACTAACAGATAGATAGCATTTTTGTGAACCTAACAAACTTGGTTTCACTATTTTTGGACATCTACAAGATTTACTACAATTTATCAAAGTGCAGCTAAAAACTATATTGAAACATTTGTAATTCACTGGAAAATTAGAAAACGTATTCTCCTGCGCGGCCCAACTCGCGATGCGGCTTGGCCCACTACTGTGACCCGCGTGCGCACACCAGCATGGCCCATGCGGCGACCACAGACCGGCCCAGCAAGGCGGGGTGCACACGCGAGCGCCCCAGGCGGGAGCGGCACACGGCCGGCCCAGGCAGGAGCAGGCGACGGCCCAACGCGGAGCGGACGGCCCAGGCATGGCCGGGGCACGCGCATGGCCACAGAGGAGGTCGGCTGCCCACGCGGATGGCACGCATGGCCCAGCGAGCGGAGCGCACGAGCGAGTGGCCCAGCGCGGCGGACGTGAACGCGAGTGGCCCAGTGCGGTGGCGCGGATGCGAGCTGGCCCAGCGCGGTTGTGCGGACGCGACACAACAGAGCACTTAAGGTGGGCGTATTTCTAATGTATTCAGGGATTTATTTTCCTACAAGAAAGCAGCCCTATATTGGGTGTGACGCAGGGATGATGTCAACAAGCTAAGTGCAACGACACGCATCGCCGGCTGCTAGCTTGCTCTGCTTGCTTGCGCGAGTGTGGTGCGGTGGTGGTCGCCGGTGAACAGAGCACGCCGATGTGCTGTTCGCGGCACTGCTACTGGCTCGGCGCAAAAGGGCGCGAGGGTGCGGATGAGCTGGCTGACCCCACCGAGCCCACGCTGGAGGTCGCCCGGAGCCACGAGGGGAACGCCCCGCACAACCTCACCGTAGGACGACGCCCCATACAACCTCACCGTAGGACGAACACTCATCGGGATGACTCCGATCAGAAGCTAACTACCCGAGCTCGATGTGTGCATGGTTAATTGGAAAGATGTGGAGTACGTAAGGCCAATTGCTTGGGCGACGCCGTTCGGAACTTATGGCAGCCGGTGATGGCGAAAACTTGAATCGACGTCCCGACATCGTACTACTGCAATAGTGGTGGGTTAGGCATGAAGCTGTACTCCCATCCATCCTCCAAACGTGCGCGGTAACAAGGATGGGCCAGCTCAGTGGTTTGGCCTTGGCGCGGCTCAGCCTACCGACGACCTTCCAGACGACGTGACGGGAAACTTGGCGTGGCCTCGCACACAAACGTGAAAGCGAGGGCAAGCCCACACGCGTGCGGCCAAAATGTCAATGGGAGCAGTAGCCGTGCGGCAGCACCGGACGTAATGCAGCGCGACCGGGGTACAGCTCGACACGACGACGAGCAACGGGCTCAGGCGGACGCGATGGAGGCGGTAGAGCAGCCAAACCCGTGGGACCCCAGCGCGTGCGTGATGCGTGCAGTGACGCCGGCCACACCATGGGGACCGTGGCCAGACGCTGGCACCAATCCAAAAACGTGCCTTGCACGCTTTTTAAAGCTGTTCCAAAAAGGCAACTCGATGATCCAGTAGCTACACCACCTATTTTACGCTCTAGCTGGTATATCAGGCTACTAAAAGAAAACCCCAAAACCATGCCACTACCTAACTCGATCTTTCTACACAAATTGTCGAACATGGCTTCGTCGACCCGTTTCTCGACTTAGGAACTTCAACCAAAACACGACCGGATTCGCGTTGAATTTGATTTTCAAGCCATTCGATACACTAGC